CGCCGTTGTTCCAGTCCCCCACCCCGCTCCCTTCCGCGTGTAGCCTGAGGGCGCGGCGCGCCGCCTACGCAGGCCGGAGTGGGCCGGGCGGCTGCTTCCCTCACGTGCTCTCCGCCCCGGGGCCGCGCCTGTCCGCCCGGTCTCCGCGCACACCCATCCAGGGCCCTCGCCCGGAGCGCTCCGGGGTCTCGCACTCACCCACGTGGGCCGCGAGGGCGCCGGCGTGGCCAGCCGGGAGACTCGGAAGAGAAAGGCTGTCAGTGGCGCGGCGCGCCGCCGGGCAGCGTGGAGGGACCGGATGCTGAAGCGTGGCGGTTTTCAAAAGGCTGTCTGATAATCGTGGGCTCTTGTCTTCTCTCTCCAGCAACGAAGGTTTTGGGAACAGTAAAATGGTTCAATGTAAGGAACGGATATGGTTTCATCAACAGGTGAGATGACCGGCGCCGAAGCCTCCATCCTTCCTCTTGCCTGCTCTCTGCCCATCTGCATGGTTGGTTTTGCGGGCTTGGGATTGTGTGAGCGCGTGGAGGTTGCTGTCTCTGGTGTATTGTTAGTGATTTCGATGATTTTTCTTTTTTTCCTCGATGACTGAAGGGTTAGTGGAGCTGAAGATTTTTCCTTTGTTTTCAGCGTAACTGTTAATCCAAAGCTATCAATAGCATCCATGGTTTCTTAGGGTGCAAAGCACTTTAGAAGGGAGTGAACTGTGCCTTTCTCACATTTCGTGCCAACTGAGGAGCTAGATCTGTGTATTATGTTGAACTCGGGTCCCACCCCATTTTGCTCCCGTTCATTGTTTTACACGTTTTTGACATTGGATGTTTGAGAATCGTAATACACTAATTGGCATAATGGTCATTGACAAGTTGCTAACCTGTGGAGGTGAGATTTGCCAGTGCAGGTATGAGGTCTTGTCACCTTTACTGTAAGGTTATACTGTCTTTGTTTAACGTTTTTGTACTTGCTGCCTTGAACACCTTGGATAAAGTTCATATTAGTACTGCTTTGACATTAAAATCGTTTTTGCTTCATCCTAAATAGTAATCTGGAAGGAAAATGCTCGATTTTCTTTGCTCAATTTTATTTCTCCTACTTGTCTTCACATAGTACCTCTTAAATTGTAACATTAGGGTGGCCTGAGTCTGAGATAACATAACAGTGCATGGTGTCTGAAGGCAAAGTTACAGACTACATCTTTTGGGATGATCTTTAGAATAGTCTGTAGCAATAGGGAAGAAGCTCACATGGTCTCCCTTGTGAGCCGGGCATCATTTTCAAGATGGCTGCCAAGACTAGTAGTGCAATTACAAGAGTGTAGAGCTCCGTTTATGCTAATAACATTGGCTATACAGGTGTGATATGTCATCTCAGCGCTTTCTTTCTTACATCCTTTTAGACGGCATTAAACAATTAGATGCTTAAAAGAGCGCTTAGGAATAAATATAATACCAATTGTTTGTGAAATGGGTACTACAGGAAACCAAATGGACAAGGTGAAGCTTCAAAACGGACATATCTGGTTGGTGAGAAACGTTCATTACTCAACCATAAAGTGCTGTGGAAACACTCAAAGCAGAAGAGGTTGTGGCCATTTTCTGGTCTGTTTTCCACATTTGGAGTGGTGGTGAAGCATTTTGTTCTCCCAAAATCCTTAGTTTTCCATCTGTTGTTCTATCTTCCTGACAAGGTAATATTTTTTTTATCAGTTTTTTGGTAATGGGTTACTAGTGAGGAAGGAAATGCTTTGGTCGTGTTCCTTTCTTTGATTCTTATTTGAGTACTCAGCCTAGAAGGATGCTTAAAATTTAAATGCCCAAGCTCTTCTCCAGGATGGATTTATTGGGACTGGAGTAGACAGACCCAATACTTCAATGTATTCCAGGTTATTATGACTGTGGACTACACCTGAAAAAACACTGCTTCTAAACTTTGACCCAGTGTAATAGTATTACTGGTGTATGCATTCGGTGGGGTTGTAATTAGGAGCATATTTCATTGAAGTGAACAGTTGACAGCCAAGATAAAAAAGTAGTTCTTTACATACTCTGAATTTTTATTCTATGAAATGCATTCTTTAAATATCTCTGTTCTGACTTGCAATCTGCTCAACGGGTCTTCCTCCAGGGCAGGTTGAATGTAAATTGGCTTTGGATGATCCTTTGTTTGGACTGACCCAACCTCAACTATTTTGTCAAATTGTGCAAATGTGCTTTGTATTACTAAACCAACTTTTTTAGTGTTTCTGAGACTTGACTATACACTGTAAGATTTGATTGCAATTAAGTGCAGGGTAGGTTTACCTTAATAGAGAGGGGTATGTATGTATGTCTTTAAGAACTAAAGTTCTGGAAGCTAGCAATTGTTCAGCATGTAGGTAGGACTATAGGACACCTGAATCTCATGGGGATAAGGGAAGTATCACACTTGTTCTGTTTCTGTGTAAAAGGGAGGATGCAATCTTTATGGTGATTATTTGTTGGAGTTCTGTCAATTGTATTTCTGAGATTGTTGGTTTTTGTGTAAATTTTTTGCTTTAGAGAAATGTGTTCTCATTGTAAACATTTCGATCTAGATTGTTGCCTGTGCTGATTGGTATCAGCTTCTTAGATTTTTAGAATGTTTTCCCTTGGCATGGTTGTACAAAAAGAACATAAGAGCTATAAAAGCAACGGACCTTTGATCTTACTTTGTTAGAATAGGTAATCTAGGAATTTTGAAAAAATGTGTTCTTTTTTGTGCTCTGTCTACAAAAGAACTGCATTCTGTGTGACTGGAGGGATTTGTTGCCCTGTTCACCTTCATAGTTTTTTCATTTCGTTATGAAAAAGATTCACCCAGCATTGTTGAAAAACATTAGAAAGGGGGCCAGACCACAGGGGTGATTAACTTCAGAAGTTGGTTCTGCTTTTTAAATCTAGATGTTTGATTTTATCTTAGTTCCATGAGAATTGATTGATTGATTCATGCTCTCCAAAATCATGAGTCAGTAACAGTTTTTCAGTGGGACTTGCACTTTTATGTATAGTGACCAGAATAGAAATACCTGTTCTCCAAGTACTTAAAGTGCTATCAATTATTATGAAGTTTTGAGGTGTACAGGGAGGGAATTTGCAACAAAAAGACAAATAGAGCAGGTCACAAATTGTTTTATTAGTTATATTTGCCCCCTCCTCCCAGGTGTTTTGTTTAGACAAATTGGAATTACTGACATTCAAAATTCAGAAGATTTAACACCCAAAATATCTAGCTCTTTAGATCTAAATTTTTGCTTTGGTGATCTGGTTCCCATTTTAAATAGAAATCAGCTGGCTATGAATGTTGTTACCTCCTTTAGATGGGGTATATGTTCCTGTTTACCTGTCAGGCTTAGCTTTCGCCTGCTGATGATTTTCCTTCCTATATATGCATTTCGAGTTTAAGTTGTCATGGGGGCTGAGGGATTTGGGGTATATATAAGTGGGATTTAACCATTGAAAGTTTTGTTAAGTGGGTTTTGTCATGAGTTCCTGTGTGCTGACTGCTGATTGCCCACATTTGAAAAAGTTTGTATATTTGACTGTTTCTTGGTGGCCAAAAGTTGCATTTTAGCAGATTGATTTTATAAATTCATACTTGTTTGATAACTAATGTTGGGAAACAGTTGAGGTGTTAAAGGAGAGAACATTAGACCTTTTCCTTCCGTCTTAGTCTGTGTTTATATTGCCAGAAAGTTAAGAAAAGTTTTGTCTAAGTGTTATTTAAAAACAATTATATGGCCCCACGAAATTAAAATATTTACAATTTGTTAATTTTAAGCTTGTAAGCCTATGGAAAGATGGCCCCAAAACAGTCCAACATTTTGGACTGTCATGTCAGACTAACTTTTAAACTCCCAGTGTGGTTGCACGGTCATGTCAAGTTCTTCCTAGAAGTCATTGGTAGGTAGTGTCTGACATTGTCATGGAGGGCTGTCATGTGTAAAGTATGTGAATATTCCCTAAGTCATTCCTGTGTCATTGGCAGTCTATTGACCTTCTCCTTTCTATTACAGGAACTGTAATTGCTGATTTCCTTGTTCTTTCAGTCTCAGCCCTTGAGATCATATGCAGTTTAGCTCACCTAAAACAAAAATATTTTTTTTAAAACCTGGAAAATAGAAGTGCCAGCTGGCTGTGAGGAGTATATAAGAGAAAAATGAAAAAATAAGTGGGATTGTGATATAATGATCATACATACCTGCAGGACTTAGGTAATTGGTGTCTGATACTTTAGATTACAGAGTTTATGTAGATACTAAATCTTGGAGTTTTTATAACTTACTATAGGACTGATTTATTCAGTTGATCAAGTGAGGCTTTTAAAATGGCTTGGTGTGGTATAATCTGCATCAAGACAGTAGAATAAACTTAAAATATGGTAGGTCTCATTTCAGGCAATATGGTGGATTGGAGGAGGTAGAGAATACTGATGGGTAATAGATGAAATCACATTACTGGGAGACATTTTGAGACCATCTTTTGTATGGCTGTTACAGGTACTGTTAATCTATTGTTAATTTCTTCTGTGCCTCATGTTTTAAATTAAACTTCATTATAGCTATGTGTGTGTAGTTGTGTGATGTAGTATATGGTTCAGTACTGTCTCTGGTTTCAGACTTAACTAGGAGGTCTTGGACACAACCCTAGGATACAGGAGGAATGACCTGTACTACATGCCATGACTCAGATGTGGCTGCTAAGTACTTAAAATGCGACTGGTGCAGCTGAGAAATGCTCAGATCAGTCTTTGTTTTGAACCACTTTCAACTAAATAGCTTGAGTATTTGAATCTACTTTTTCATACTTACAAATGAAATTTTGTAAGTAATCTGATACAAATCAGATTTTGAAGACAGTATGAAAAAAAGCAAGTGTAAAATTCTTGTTTTCTATGTTGACAACCATGCATATTGAGATGATAAAATTAATTTTACCTTATTATGGCTGCTAGAAAACAAACTTGGGTATTTGCCTTGCGTTTTATTTCTATTGAGCAACAGTTGGGTTGTACTTGGGTTTGATTACAGTGTTAGTTAGGTAAGTGCTATTATTCGCCCTATACACATATTTTCTCCCCCCCCACACACACACACACAACTTAAGTTCACATAGTTAGTAATAAGGTAGTCCAACCTTGACTTCAGTATTTTTTTTCTAGTAAGGAACTCTCAACACTTCTCTATATACTACCTATCCCTGTCTCTCCCTCCTCTCTGGTTAGTATGATTTCACATACTACATGGCAAAAAACACATTTAGTAAATGCCAGGTGCTGCTTTGGATTGAATGGTGGTGGACTGAGGATAAGTGCTCTCCCCCCCCCCCCCATTAGGCATTGCTTAGCCAGCTGCTCAGTTTTATTAAAGTGGTGAATGAGATACTTGACTTTGCTATCCTTTTATAGGCCCAGTGACTTGGTGGCAATTTATAAGAATAATATGATGAAATAAATACGAGGTATAGAATTCAGAAAAATTGGGCAGTATTTATTTTTTAGTTTGAAGGGCTGGGTAGTATTGAGTGAACAGTGTTACACAGTGGATAATTAGGTTTGAATAAGCACCTACCCTGTTCCCAGTATGCTGGGTGCTAGACAGGAGAATGACCAGTTCTCTTTCTCAGTCACTTACCTCTGGTTGAGAGGAGCATGTAAACTAGTATGTTTTTGATAACCCTCTATCTTCAAAAAGTGTGGTAAAGACAGAATGGGCCCTCTTGGTTCTCAGGATACTTTACAAAAGGTAAGGTGCTAGGGATAGGATACACCTTTCCACTACATTGATAAAAACATTAAAAAACCATGTTTCTTGGTGAGCTGTGTTGGTTATTTTATTTACCCAAGTGATGTCTGTTCACAACACAGTGTATGAGTGAGTTCTCCAGACTTCAGATGTATGACACTCACCTCCACCCTCCGAATTAAGAATACCCATAGTTCTTTGCCCTTGTCCACTGGTCCCAACCCCCTTTAAATGTCACCCCATCACCCCTCTTTGTCAAGCACTCTTTATTTTTCGCCATAATCCCCTGCTTTTAATTTGGTTTGGTTTGGTTGATACTTTGTTTTGTTTCTCTCTCTTCCATATGAGTGAAATCATCCAGTATTTTCTTTCTCCTAGCTTACTTCACATATATGAAATAACTGTACTTGCAAGGAGAGGATGCAGGGAATGATGATTATTTGATTGTCCTTTCCCAAAATTATAGAAATCATTTGCTGTAATCTTTATAAAATGTAAAGATTTCCAAACTGGTCCACTTCAAGTCTCAACATACTAAAGGCCAGGATGAAATTGACCCCTAAATAGATCACTACATAGTTCATTTTCCTGACTTGTAAAGTAGGAGGTTAATGATTGCGCTGACTTCAGGATTGTGAGCGTTGGATATTATAATGAAGACACTTGGCACAATATCTGAAACTTTAACTCTCAGTAATGCAGGCTACCTCTGTCTGGTTTGTTTTTTCCCATTGTGCAGATGAAGAAAAAACTTTTGAGGACTAAAAGTCAGGAGTTCCCATTAACAGTGCTTTCAATATCTCAGTAGTCCTTTCACACGTTGCAGCTAGGTCAGTTTATATATTTAAATCATAGTCCTTTGTTTTGACAAAAATTGGATTTTTAAGTAGTCTGTTTTCTTCTTCCTGAAGGACTGGTATAGTGACAGTAAATGAGTGATTGAGTACATTACATAAACAGTTTTGGTAACTTCACTAATGCTCTTTTTAAACCCTGGAATAAAATTTACAGATAACGACTTTTGTTTTTATAGAAGTGTGGTCTGTTTGTAATTAGTTTTTTGCACCACAAATGTGGGTTGGTAAAAGGAATGATCTATCGGTTACTCATGAGCAATACTACCAGTAATGAAAAGTCTCTCCTTAAGGAGGTTGTATTTTTAGTAAATGTCCTGTGATGGTTAATATTGCACCCTGTTGAGTCACCGTTTTAGACTTTACACACCTTCCTTAGTCCACCCAAAGCCCCACTAAGGTTTGAGTTGTAATCACACTGGAGATAAAAACTGATTGGTAGATATAGAGTTGTTTATGTGATATTGTGGATATTGTGGCCAACCATTATTCTTTGGGGCTTTCCTAATACTCAACTGGTTTCTGAGGTCCACTTTAAGCTTCATGTCTCAAGTCGCCTTTGCAGTATTTCACAGTTTGTGTGTTGTGTTGTTTTGTTCTTCCTTAAACAATTTAAAATTAATCGCTTCATTAATGGATGTCCCTGTGATCCATCTAAATTATATGAGTTATTTGGTATATACATTGTTTCTTGGATCGAGGAACCAATGATAAGCCAGTTGATTCCGTTAATTGTGACTTTTGCTCTTTCTGTTACTTAACACTGGAACTACTTTTGAGCCCATTTTCAGATTTAGTAGTGACAGAATGAAGAATTGGAGGCAGGCCAATGAAGGCCTGGAAATCTCTTTTCTCCAGTAGTTCTCTTTTTTCATAGTATCACCTTAACCTAACCTCCAAACTGAAAACTTCACTCCATTTCTCCCTCATTTCTAACATTTTATTTATCCCCAAAGGTCTTCCCATTTTACTTTAAGGAGTATTCACGTTTAATGGAGAATTCACGTTTACTCCATCTTATCCCAGCCCTTAATCTAGTTCTCCGTCATTTCTGATTTGGGTTTTTGAACTAGCTTTTTTGGTAACCAAATGGGCTCCCTTTGACTAGATTTTTAACAGCTATTCAATAAAAATTAAGCCATCTTTGCTGACTTGTAAACTTGCATGGTGATTTGACCCCACTGTTCCTCACTTTAAGCCACATTCTTTATGCTCCAGACAGCTTAAACATTAGTGCTTCTGTTGAATTTGCACATTGCTGGCTTTATATCATAGTCATGATCTGTTAGATGTTCGCATTTTCTAGTAAGCTCCTTTAAGACTCGTTAGGGCAGATTCTCCTTTACAAACTACTTTTGAAGTCCTGAATAAGTAAATATTTAACAACAATTTGAATAGGTGAATAATTGATATGAAATAATGTGAAAGGGAATTTTGTGTGTGTTAGTAAAAATAGTCATTATCATTCCCTAATTCTCTAATGCTTGCTTACATGAATGGTGTGGATTTTGGAGAGGGGATGAAGGGGAAGGTTGGTGGTCCTTGAGAAGAGGTAAAAATTAGAAGTGATGAAGAAATGATTGAGGATGAAGTGTGAAAGAAGGATGAAAAATATAGTTATAGTCTCTTTACATTAGTAAGCATATGCTCTAGAGGTAAGTAAGAGTGTGGGGTATGCTGGAAAACTTATGAAGGTTTAGTAATGTTTCCTCTTTTTTTGCCCTATTACCTGGTTACCAACCAGAAAATCTCTTGACCTGCAAAAAATAAAAATGGGTGGAAATGGACAGCGGACTAAAAAGCATATCGTTAATCTTTAGCAAACATGAAATGTATTCTTTTTTTTTCTGATTTGTTAAATTGTTCTATTTTGCAGGAATGACACCAAGGAAGATGTATTTGTACACCAGGTGAGTGCTTGTGTGTAGATATTTACTCTTCTGCCTCAAGATTTGTGAAGAAGGGTGACTGACTTTTCAGCTATTGTTCTTTACCAAAAAGGTTATAAAGTCCAACTACTTGTTTATATAGTGCCTATAGGAAGAGTAATATAGTATGTTTGAATGTGTGTGTTGAAACCTTGTGTTAGTAATTAGTTCAATTAAAATAGGTGTTTCAAACTGTTGTTTTGTTAATAGTTGAAGCTTTTGAAAATTTTGAAACTGCTCAATTTGTTGCACTAAATTTTCAAGCCTAATTTCAGGTGAACAGAAACCCTCAGTAAACCTAATCTTGCACTAATGATATTGTTACAGAGACACAAAAACAACATCTGTCCTACTTACTCTGAAGCACTTTGAACAGTTAATATAGACTTACCTTTGGAGAAACAAAGTATAGATGTTAATTGCTGAACTTCCAAGCATCATTTAAGGAAAATATTTTTTTCCTTTTCCTTCCGGAAGTGCTTTGGGCTTTAGAGATTTTATTGTGTAACTAAAGCGCTGCTAAAAAGAACACTTATGTCTCATATCTGACTATTATGGGTATATGTAAATATACCTCACAGGTATACATAGGTAGGTGCTCTGCAGTTTTTCCACTAAAACTTGAGGTACTGTCAACTTGTATTTAAAATTGCTCTAAGAACTTTTATGCCACTTTTATACTGTAATTCAGAAATAAAAAATATAAAGTCTGTCTCCACTTAACTTTTGCATGTGTGAGCTTGGAAGGCAGCATGCTTCTTAGGAAGAGCTGTCTTAGGTTGGTGCTTGATAGTGTTGTAAAGCATCCTATACAGCATTCAGTGATAAGCAAAGGGGCAAGTGAGATCACTTCTGGTACATCCAAAACCTATCAGATAATTGTAGGAGCAGATGTAAGTATGGAAGCATTTAAACTCTAAACATAAATATAGAAGCACCTAAACTGTTACCTTAAAACAAATGCCTGTTTTATAAAATTGAATTGCCCACTATTATCCTTAAACAAAGACATCCGTAGGCTTAGGGTTAAGAGACAGCAAGATAGTTCAGTTCTATTGTCTATCAGCGACACTAAAGGGTTTGGGGAGGGTGTTAAAAGAGTGCTGACTGAAATAAGAGAGGTGAGGTTTTAATTATCCATACTTCTGCTATCCCCGATGACTGCAGGTAATTGAGAGTTGGCTATATATGAAAGGCATGAAAACTTCGTGACAGTTTAGATGACAGATGAGATCAGTTTGGCTGAATGCATGTCACCCAGTTGGACTGGCTCACAAGGTGTCACCAATCTGCTTTCCTTATTTTGGAATTGGTTTCAACATTTAGTTGTTGCACTGGACTTTGCTCAGGTCTTGGTGGTGTATCAAGGAGACTGAAGTTCTGGGCAACTTAGCTTAATTGGCTTCAGATTTGTTATTTTTCCTGCCTCATTTGAAATAGAAATGCATTTGTGAGCCTGTAATGGATACTGCTGTGATGTAGTAGAATGAACATGGGATTTGAAGTCCCCCAAGACTTAGATTTAGAGAAGTTCTTAACCTGCCACTTACTGGCCCTGTGACCTTGTGTAAATCAACTTTTTAAAGTCTACTCTTAATCTGTAAAAAGGGGAATAATAATACCTCACATCATCTGTCGTGAGATTGACTAGGCAATCCACTAAAGTATTTTGTGTAAAAATACTATAAAGCAAATGTGAGGTATTGTTCTCCCACTTGTAGCACTCTGGAAAAGTAACACATCTTTAATGTGAGGTATATTCTCAGGGGAGCTAGTAGCCCACTGTCCATGCAGTGAGATAGGATGAAAAGTGGCATGGCTAATAACAAGTGAATTGAATTTCCACTGAAGTATTATCACAGGTTGGAAGGGAGTTTGGTTGACATTTGTTACTGAGTTTGATAACACAGGAACAAAGTTGGTTTGGTCAACTTTGAAGCATGCAAAACTAAACTCGCCTGTCATCTAAACTGGTCCTGTGTGGGGCTAGCTTCTATTAAGTGCAGTCTTTGGGGGATAGATGGAGATCCTCATTTTGTCCAAAGTTAACATACAATGCTTTTGCAAGACGCTGCTTTTAAAAATATGTACTGTTTTGTCTGTCTTGAGTGTTAATTACTTGTTTCAGTTTTGAAAAACAGTGGTAAAATGTTGGGGCCTTTGTATGATTGGAGTATTGTGGTTAAGGTTGGGGGTAGCACTGGTCCCTGTTACCTAAATTTTGTGATGGTTTGGTCTTAATTAAAGCTAATTTTACGTGTATATCCAAGCTAAAATAATATTGACTCTGGTACATTTTAAATGAAAAAGCACATTATTCTCCCCTGTTAATCTATTTTTGGAATGTGATATTACTAGACTGCCATAAAGAAGAATAACCCCAGGAAGTACCTTCGCAGTGTAGGAGATGGAGAGACTGTGGAGTTTGATGTTGTTGAAGGAGAAAAGGTGAGGATGCTTTTTGTGTAAAGGTTTGACTTCAGTGTGGAAATATTTTGGAGATCTCATCCATTAGGAATGGTGGCTTTAAGGTGGATGGATGGGTCAGGTGACCACATGAACACAGGTGCATCAAGCCTATTGTGCTGGCTGCAGTTAGAGGGCAATCTCTTCAGAACAGTGAGGAACTAATTTAGTTATTTCTATGCACCCCTGGCCACAAAAAAGCAGTTTAACTTTGTGTAAATTTAAATGTCCTTAATTCTTTTGTCACTGCCCATGTATGATACCTTTTGTAGGGTGCGGAGGCAGCAAATGTTACAGGCCCTGGTGGAGTTCCAGTGCAAGGCAGTAAATACGCAGCAGACCGTAACCATTATAGGCGCTATCCACGTCGCAGGGGTCCTCCACGCAACTACCAGCAGAATTACCAGAATAGTGAGAGTGGGGAAAAGAATGAGGGATCAGAGAGTGCTCCCGAAGGCCAGGCCCAACAGCGCCGGCCCTACCGCAGGCGACGGTTCCCACCTTACTACATGCGGAGACCCTATGGGCGTCGACCACAGTATTCCAACCCTCCTGTGCAGGGAGAAGTGATGGAGGTGAGTGTTCACCAAAATTAAAGGGCAGGGGAGGGGGGAGGAAGTATCAGTTTTATGTGATGGCTTTTTGACAGGCTGTGTTTTCAAACCTTTCTGTGTGTTTGCTGGTGTATTTGAGCTATTAATCACAATGGGAAGCATTTTACTTCCTAGAAATAGTTATATGTATAGTTACCAATTGATGTATTTAACACCTGTATTTATTTAGTCTTTGGATTTATGTGATTGTGTTTTTACTGTTTAAATTGACCTAGTGTCTTGATTTCTTTCCATTGTCTGTCAGGGTGCTGACAACCAGGGTGCAGGAGAACAAGGTAGACCAGTGAGACAGAATATGTATCGAGGATATAGACCACGATTCCGCAGGTATGGTTCGTGTTTAAAAACTTTTTACCAGCATATACTAGGCCTCAACATCGTGCTTTTCTTGCATCATTTATCTGTTAACACTTCACATTTTCTTTCATCAGATGTCTAAAGAGGTGAACCTGAAGTCAGTTATCTCTGAGAAAATGTTCTTTGCTTACACTGGTTCAAAACAGCTTATATAGATGAGGTTCACATTTTATGCTGTTGGGTTTTTTTGTTTTTAAGTAAGGGTACAGAATTTCACATTCTGTCCTTGAAAACAGTTAAATGGTTTAAACTGAATGTCTTTATGACACTTATTGGGGGCGAGAGAAAGATAAAGGTGATTTTTTTTTTAAACATTCAGAATGTCTCAACAGTGCTATCCTAACAAAATCAACAATTTTACTCATGAGGTGGCCTAATTGTAAGTCACCTCGTTTAGATAATGTACTTTATTTATAGTCTCAAAATTGCGAAATGAAATTACATTTTGCAAAAAAGTGTAGTTCCAGACTAGAATCTAAGCAACCAACCTGGCTACGTAAGTATTAGGAAACACTTTTTAGCCAGAAGTTAATTATCATCAGTGTAATTGGGGAAGAAGTGGGAGCCTGACCATGTTTGGTTCATGGTATGTGGCATTTTCAGACAGTATTCCCAATCAAAGTCTTTGAGACCTTAAGAGAGATCATACTGTCTTAACCTGTTCATTGATGTCCTATATGTTCATTGAGTTTTGTAATAATCAGTATTTAAAATGGCTCTCAATTGCATTGATAAGTATTTCTGATTCAGGAAAATGGGCTGGGATCCTAGCTGGTTCACTAAAATTGGACATTTAAAGTTTTTGAGCTACCATAAAAATGGCCTTGTGCTAGATGTTGGAGGTGGATAAATGTGTCCTTCCCTATTCTGTTTGGAAAATTAAAGTTGATCTCAAGTAGGCTCACTTTCTTTTTTTTTTTTTTTTTTTTCTTCCCCCAAATAGGCTTTCGTGGCAGTCTGCCCTTAAGTGCCAACAGCAGGGAATACCCTGGGTTTGCCTTTTTGTTACACTGTTAGAACTGCCTAGTTTCATTGGTGCACATTAGAATTTTTAAGTGCTTTAGTTTAATTCAGATTTAACATTCTCATCTGAATGGATAGACTAACAGTACCAAGTAATTGCTATGGTGACATAATTGTCTTAAAATCTATGACAAATACAGTACTTTGCAGTCCACTTAACCATGAATCCTTTTTCCAAATGAGCAGTAATCACACCTACTCACTATAATGTGTGAGGTATAATCCTGATGGTATAGAGGAGGGGTTTTTTCTTAAGATTTATTTATACATACAGAACTGGGGGACAGGCCGCAGGTGCAGGGGGTGAGATTCACCAGAGACAGTGGGAAGCAGTGGGCAGACCAGGAGAGGTCTGCGCCATGTGCGTAGCTTCCTGCCAGGGGATCAAACTCATGCTGCAGTGGCTGCAGATAGTTTCATAGTGTTGTGCTTTAACCTGTTGCACCACCAGGGAGGGCCCAGTAAAAAGAGGAGTTTGAACTAAAAAGGTGAGATGGCACAAAAGGAAAAGTGAAGTCAAAAACATTGTCTCGTTGGTTCAAGCATATGCACCAAAAGAGGGCAGTTGGCAAGAAAATGACTGCTGGAGCAGTTTTCACATGAAATGAATAAGGAGGGGAGATAATTACTGAAGAATTTGAGGAGGACAGCATATGTGACAAGAGCACTGGAGTATATGTCCTAGGCGACATTAAGAATGGGAGAAGAAGAAGGAATAAGCTAGTGAAAGTGGGTAGCATTAACCACCGAGTGGGCTACAAAGCAGGTAGAAAACAAATGAATGGAAGAGAGAATCGAGTAGCCCAAGTGAAGTACAGAAAGTTGATTTAGAAGCCACAGTTACAGGGTTAGACATAGTATTCCTTAAGGGAGAACTGTCAGGGAAAGCCAGAGTGGTTTTGCCAAAGACTGGCCTTGAATTCCAAAGAAGGGAGAAAGGATCTTAGGAGAAGAAACAGTATTGGAATGATAGATGAGAGACTGGAAAGTCTAGACGTGTTTTTTGAAATACATGCATCTAAATGGGAGTTAGAGAGGCCTTGGCGTAAAACACTTGGTGATATTCTTGGTGGTCTGATGCTTCTGTGGGAGTGCTTTGAATGAGTGGAAGAAAGGTCAACAATACATCAATTTCATTACTGCCATAATTGTCAAGAAACAAAAAAAACCCACTTATTTTCCTTGATAGAAGTCCTGCCACTTTCTTTGTTGCTGAATATTTCAGGCCTTAATACAACTTAGTGAGTTTAGTTATATTTACAAATAACTTGTATAGTTCAGAAAATAGACAGCCATCACCACTGTTTGCAGAATATTTTCGGTGAACACTTTAAGGTCTTAACAGTCATTTTTCTCTCGCGCTAGCCCCTGGCTACTACTAATCTATACTCTCTAGTTTTGCCTGATTTGTACACTCTTATAAATGAAATAAAATAGTGAATGACCTTCTGTATCAGTCTTCTGCTTAGCATATTTTCAAGATTTATCCATGGTGGCATGTATCCGTTTTTATTCCTTTAGTTTCAGGTTATATTATTTCTACATTTTTATGTTGATGGGCATTTTGGTTCTTTAATTCATGAAATGGAAATGAATCCTGGGTATGAACCTAGAGGTGGAATTGCTGGGGCGTATGGTACAAATGCAACATTTTGAGTAATGGCCCATCTATTTTCTAAAGCTGCTGCGCCATTCTGTATTCCTACCTACATGTGTGATTATTACAATTTCTTCTCATTCTCACCAACAATGATTACTTTCTGACCTTTAGATTATGGGAGTGAAGTGTTGGTTTTGCTTGGATTTCCTAGTGGCTAATGGTTGCTGTGTACTTTGTTTATAAGAAAGGGGGGTGGGGTTATTTCTTGTCCAGTTCTTTCTCAATGGACGTGGTTACCATAAAACTTACTTTTCATGAGCAGTTAAAAGATGTCAGAGTGTTGAAGCTGTCATGCCACTCTGTCATATTTCATGGTTATCATAGATTGTTTGCTAGTCCCTTAAAGCTAGTTTTAAATGTTTATTTTTCAGTTTGCATTCCAAATACAAAATCATCATACTCACTTTGTGAAATGAACTAAACTTGCTCTTCATTTTTGCTAAACTGCCTGCATACCACATAAACAGTCCAGATACAGCATTGAGTTGAGTGGAGCAATTGTTAACATTGGTGGGCAGGTTGAAGAAAGAAGACATTATCATTGCAAGTGTGCACAATGTTCATTCCAGGGGCCCTCCTCGCCAAAGACAACCTAGGGAGGACGGCAATGAAGAAGATAAGGAAAATCAAGGAGATGAGACCCAAGGTCAGCAGCCACCTCAACGTCGGTACCGCCGCAACTTCAATTACCGACGCAGACGCCCAGAAAACCCTAAACCACAAGATGGCAAAGAGACAAAAGCAGCCGATCCACCAGCTGAGAATTCGTCCGCTCCCGAGGCTGAGCAGGGCGGGGCTGAGTAAATGCCGGCTTACCATCTTTACCATCATCCGGGTGAGTGTGCCTAGATGGCCTTCCTGGTCCAGTCATGGTTGGTATCCATTAATGCTGCGGGTTGGGGAAGGCCATGTGTTCCACCAAAAGTTTTCCCTGAAATGCCTAAATACTCCACTCTGGTGGTGTTGGGTATCAGCCACGCATGACCCCTCATTCGTCTCAATTCTGACACCTAGAGGCCTTTCTTCACATTGTATCTTGTCGGATTTCAGAAGTCTTGATTTCACTGAAAATCCTGCTAATCCTGTTCTAAGTAGTATGTTAATTATATTGCTGTTTTTCCCAAAATAGCCATTAAAATTAACAGAAGCTAAGTGGTAACTATTGTAGTTTCTTTAGTGGGGGAAAGGGAGGCAACTTTAAGATGTTTGTAATTTTTTGTTAGGTTTTTCTATAGAGAAAAGGGAAAACTTGTAAATAGCTTAACTTCTACCAAAGTCATAAATTTCAGGTGCCCAAAAGATGATTCTTTGAGAGGTCCGTTAATGTTGCTGAAGCTCCTTGAAGCTGGCCTGTTTTTGTTTACTCTTAAGTTCTAAACTTAAGAGTATTCCTTTGCACTCAGCTTTTTCCTCGATATACTGAGAGACATGTAATTGGCTCTGAAATCATAGTTTTCAGCCAGTGGTATACTTGGTTCCCCACTTCCACCCTCTCCACTGTACTATTTTCTGGGTGGCAAAAGGTCACCCAGAACTTACAAATAACCTTGTCATAGCAACATCCATTCCTGTTATAAATCGCACTGTCTTGGGCTACATCAATGAGATTTGCTTAAATGCTTTCCCGTCTTAGCCAGTATGATCTGGAGCAATTTACTGTGTGCTGAAAGAACATTGCAGTTAATTGTTTGAGATAATAAAGTTTTTGTTTCTTTGCAGTTTAGTCATCCAACAAGAAGAAATGAATATGAAATTCCAGCAATAAGAAATGAACAAAAGATTGGAGCTGAAGACCTTAAGTGCTTGCTTTTTGCCCGTTGACCAGATAACCAGAACTATCTGCATTATCTATGCAGTATGGGGTTTTTATTATTTTTACCTAAAGATGTCTCTTTTTGGTAATGAACAAACGTGTTTTTTAAAAAAAAAAAAAAATAAGCCTGGTTTTTCTCAATACACCTTTAAAGGTTTTTAAATTGTTTCATATCTGGTCAAGTTGAGATTTTTAAGAACCTCATTTTTAATTTGTAATACAAGTTTACAACTTGATTTTTTCAAAAAAGTCAACAAACTGCAAGCACCTGTTAATAAAGGTCTTAAATAATTGTCTTGCGTATATTTATCTTACTAGCATATGTATCCATAGTTCATTCTAAGACAAACTGGTCTGCAGACAGACAGTAGTGCCTTAGGGAAATGTCTTTTAAAATGTAATTGTTTGTTGAGTAGCCTACATGTGAATTCATACTATAAGTGGAAACCATTTACTGATTTGTTGGGGGTGGGGTGGGTAAGATAAGTTCACCTTTAAAACTGTAGCAGTGAGAGCTATGACTACCCCCATTGTGGCTATTTTCAATTCAAATCTTGATGTAGAATTCCACTAGCTTACACCAGTGTGTTTTTTTGTTTTGTTTTGCTGGGAAGCCATTAGAAAGGAAAGAAGTATGTCTTAGTATGGGGCCTAACTATTTGGAGTCCTTAGACTCTTCTACCTGGAAAGTAATTTTAGTTTTCCTGTTTTGAAGATGCCCACTTTTAAGATTTATCAGATGCCTGCCACAGGGCTGAGTGTGTTCAGTAAACATAGGCTCACGCTGTGATCAGTGGGAACAACAACAAATAATGTGATCCCTATGGGAAGACAGCTAAGGAACTTGTAGGTTGGTCAAATTGATTTTGTGGGCTCAGAACCTAAGTGTTACCTAGGCTAATTGTGACATATCTTGTTTAAATGTTGTTACTCCAAGGAGACATTTAGTGCTTTGTAAATCCAGGTCATGGTGACCCTTTCCAGGCTTTGCACTGGTTAACATTAAGTTCCAGGGAATTGGTGAGTTAACAGTAAGAAAGAAGTAAAACTCCCAAAGACTAACACTGCATTGCACTGGTTAACATTAAGTTCCAGGGAATTGGTGAGTTAACAGTAAGAAAGAAGTAAAACTCCCAAAGACTAACCTAGTATCTGATAACTTCCAAATTTGGTGCTGACTTGTTTTTTTTTTTGATTAAGTATCCAGTGTTGGGAAGAGTTCAGCGGAAATGACATTGAACACTGGTGATGGTATGTATGTGTTTTCCTAATAATTACATGCATTAGGAAATACATCATGTAAATGACAAGATTAACGTTGGTTAAATTATCCAGAGATGTTCAGATGTGATTTTGGTAACGAAGGCAAGGAAAATTTTGTGGTACAGTCTTGCTACTTAATAGCAAAAGCATCAGTTTTTTAAAATACTCCTTTTTTGGGGTTCTGTTGCTCAAACCTTTTCTGTATAAGAATTAAGATAGTTTATATAACAACCCAGAAAATGCATTTTCTTGCAGGTAGGATGCAGGTGTAGAAGTGGTTTGCCAGTCACATGAACCAGCGTGAAACTTAGGACAAATGTGCACTGCTAGAGGGGAGGGTGGGAGGTGGAAGTAGTGCTTTGAAAAACTGCAGAGCAGCAGTTTCCTTGTCTGGAGTAAATGGCCATGGTTTACTCAAGCCTGGGTTCCAAATCTTAACAATTGTGAACTAGCTCATATCTTTAAAGACCTGCAAGGGGTTAGGGGGCATGTGTATCACGTCAAGCACCTGGGGGTTAATGTAGAGCAAAGTAGGATCATCCTTTAAACATTGTGCTGCAGGGGTTGGGTGGTGCAGTAAGGTAAAAATAAGGCTTGGAAAGGAAATAATATACATGGAGTCTGGTAACCTCAAAAGAATTTGCACCCAGGTGAACACTAATAGCTGAAACTTGTTTCTGCAGGTTATGTAAGGGAAGAGTAAATTTCATGGTGTTAGCGAGCACATATGTATTGCATTTAAAAAATTTGAGGATGGAAAACAGTTTTTGAAAGACATTTTTTCTATGTTAGTATTATGAAATGTATTCGTTCAAATTAAGGGATTTTTGGTGGTTCTTGGGCACGGGACAACAGGTGAAGTTTTAAAGGACAAAAATGTTAGCATTGGTATAAAAAAAGGGGAGTGTGGTAGGGAAATTGGTTGTTACAGATGGAGAGTTGGGATTAAGGCTGCCAGTTGAGCAGCTCCAGAGGAAGAGAAAATTGAAGGAAATTTAAAGTTACAGGAGACAGTGTCAGTATCCACTCCTATCCCAAGTGCAGGGATGAATCGTGAGTAGCCAAAGGTACTTTATCCCACTTCTATGTTAGGGCTTAAAAAGGCAGAGTAAAAAAAAAAAACATTGGGGGCTCTCCTGGGTGATAATGGCAACAGGTTAAAGCACCACATTATAAAGCTCTCCAGATAACTTGGGTGGAAGTTTAAGGATAATTCTGACACTCAACACAGAAGGTGGTTTATTATTAGAGTTGAGATTAGAGCCAGCCAAGAAGAAAGCTTTGTTATAAATGACTTGTTTTTTGGAACTGCATAAAATTTTCATAAATCATTTTGAGACATCAGAAGTGATTAGGTGTTAGAAAACCTAACTCCAGTCCTGCCCATGAAACTTCAAGAACCTCAGGAACTGCCACATGTTAAATATGGAAGACTGAAGAATTTCTCAAACATTACCCAAAAATTCCTGGATCCCACCATCCAACTGCCTAATTCAACTTAAGAGAGGGGAGCATTGGAATGAGCATGTAAGGTGCTTACTAAGATGTAAGTAGTACCAGCTTCCTAAAATTTTGGGAGGATTAACTGAGAATAAGACAATACCTGATGTCAAGAAAAGTCAGCAGCTGTTGCAAGAATATTGTAAGGACCAACTAAAATTTTGTGAGGGTTGTGAACACAGAGTAAGGTGGCCATGAGAACTTAAGTTGCAGACCTTTACAGGAAACAACTGCCCTGAAATAACTTTCCTCTGAAACCTACTTTTCCTGAGACAGCTTCCCTAATGAGGGAGCCAAGCCAGAGAGGGAACTTGGCAGAGATTCTCAAGCAGTCATTTTCTGGGTGATAACGGACTCTCAATTGACAACCAGCTTCAGCCTGAGGGCTCTCCTGATGGCTTTGCCATACTTGCCTTAGACTGATAAGTGTCTTAAACTTCCCAATTTTCTCAGCTGTTTCTCTTGTAAACCTTTGCATGTTTAATCCATTTGGGGGTCTGCCACTTGGAGGACCCAGACAAATAGCAAGCATCATTTAAAAAAGAAGAGCAGCAGCAGACCTCCCTGTCTGGCCCGCAGCTGCCCTCAGCAGTGTGTTTCAATATATCTGCCTGTTCTGCTCCCCACTCTGTCTCTGGTAGGTCCTCTCACTCCCACATTTCTGGCCTGTTCAGCCAGCTCTTGTATGCAAAAATCTTTTTCTAAAAAACCATGCTGGACATAAGTGTGCTGATGTAGAACACTATACTAGACATCAGCAAACCTCAAGATTCAAGGTGGTGAATAATCAGGAAAGACAGCTTAAGTATAGAGCATCAGGGATCTGTCATTCCTCCCCCAACAAGTACACTGGCAGAATTGGTCTCATTTCTTGTAGTTATTTTGGAACATTTGGAATGCTCGCAACATCCAGGGAAGGGTCTCATGGTAGAAATGTCATCTTGAACATTCTACCTTAGTTCAACAGCATCTAAACATTCCCCACCTCCCCCAGCCCTGAGCAGTTGGGCAGACGTCCCTGGAGCAGTTTGTATGTAGTTTGCAGGAGCCAGGTTGTCAGTAAGGTCCTGCCCAACAAATAATCAGGGCTCTTGGGGTTACTGCTTCTGATCACAGAGGCTTAAGCCATTATCACACCTTATCCCACTGCTGTGTCAAAGACATCCCAGAGCAACAGAAATCAAAACAACTGGGGAAAAAAGGGAGGCTGATTACCATAGGCATATGTCAGATTCAAATTTGTAATTCTCAGCAACAGAAACCAAAAGGCATACAAACAAGGCAAATAATTAGCTTGTATTCAAAGAAAGCAAAGTAGACCAATAGGAAGTAGCCCTGAGAAAAGTGGTAGTCTACTACTAGACAAGATTTTAGGACAACTTTATTTCAAGATTTATTTATGCATCTAAGAACTGGGGTGTAGGCCAGAGGTGGGGACAGTGGGGAGCAGAACAGGAGGATCAACTGAAATACACTGATGGGAGCAGCTGGCAATTTGTCATATACAAGGGGTCACCCATAAGAAGAACATTACCAGCAGAAATTCTCTTTGGAGGCCAGAGGCAATGGGCTGGAATATTTAAATTACTAACAAAAAACTCAACTGAATCCCATGTCCAGGAAATCCTAGAGAGAAATTCTGTATCATTCCACTTACTGAGATAGTTGCATTAGTAAAAAATGTCTAGGATGTAAACTTGATGTCATATGTACTTAACAATCATTTAAAAAAAAAATGGAAAAGGATGAGAAAGATAACCAAGGAAAGATGTATGTTTTCTGGCTAAAACCAGAAAAATGATTTTAGGGTTTTACAGTAATTACCAGGTTTTGTGAGGAGTTAGATGATCCATCAAAAGAGGGAGAACAGTAGTGGAAACAATATTTAAAGACCATTTTATGAGGCATGGTCATTTTATATTTAGATCATCTTTTCCACTTTTGTCCATAGAAATCTTGCCCATTTTTAAGTTGGGCAGTCATAATTACAGAGTAGTATGAGTACTTTTAGAAAATTTTTGTCTTTTTTGTTTCTATTTGACTTTTTGTAAGAGTTCTTAATAGGTTCTGAATTTGAGCTTTTCATCAGCAAAATGATTTCTAAGTATTTTTCTGTGTTGAATTTTTGCTTTTTCTGATGGTATCCCTCACACAAGTTTTTAATTTTGATGCAGTCTGATTTTTCTGTTGTCATAATTGGTGTCATATCTGAGAAAACACTGCCAAATCCAAGGCTCTCTTACATCTGGGTCTAATGATGCATTTTGAGTTAATTTTTGCATATAGTGTCTGGAAGGGGCAGCTTAATTCTGCACATGAACATGGAGCTCTTTCAGCACCATCTGTTAAACAAACTTCCTTCCTCCACTGAACTTCTAGGCATCTCCCACTGAGGTTTTTGCTTTGCTTATCACATTTTAAAATTATTTTTGATTATTTTACAGATATACTAAGTCAGCATTGATAATTTCCCACTCCCTGCAGATGTTTGTTAAGTGGGTCTCTTCTTTAAACACAGTGAAGATACCGTTTTGTGATGTGTGATAATTCAGTTTTAAGTCTGTGTGTGTCTGCCTAAGTTGCTCATAGAACTTTTTCTTCTAGACTTGGTTACTTTTTATTGTTTGCCCTACATTGTGTTTGAAAAGTTTTTTGTAGATTCTTAAGAGACCTGGGATAAAGTCTCTCCCTTCAGAGAGGATTTGCATTTGCTTTTGTTGCTCATTCAGAGGTATGACCTCACCAATAGATTTTAGCAATCTTGGCAGCTGACCTTTTTTGGAGACCTGTCAGGTGATTTGAATCCATCAGAGCTGGCTGTAGCAGCAGCTGCTGAGCTTGCCTGACCGCTCTCTTGGGCCTGGTGAGGCTAGTGAATGAGGTGATGATGGTAATACTATTGTATTGAGAGAGGCTGTCACACTGGGATCCTGACTGAATGTAGTAAGGTGTGCTAATAGGCCCTTCCCACACGCGCACCATGGGTGAGCGCAAGGCTTTCCCATCCGTCACAGCTTTTTCATCTGAAAGTAATTTCAAACCCTGAAGAAAAGTTTCAAGGATAGGTCAAAGAACACCTGTATACCTTCACTTAGATTGCTCAACAAAATTACACTGCATAAACTTGACTCCTAACTTTCTGTGCCTTTATGTGTATTTTTTTTTTTCTGAAACCTCATTCCCTTAGTACTTCAGGGTCTCTCTCCTACAAAAACAGACTGACCTACAAAACCAGTCAACTGTCAAGCACAGGAAATTGACTTTGATAGAGTACTATTATCTAAGTCACAGATACTGTTCAAATTTCACTGATTGTTCCAAGAATGTGTTTTACAGGTTAAGATTCCAATCCAGGGCCATGTATTGCATGTAGCTATACTATGGTATCTTCAGTTTCAATCTGGTATAGCTTCTCCATCTTTCCTTGTCTTTCAGAACTTTTGACAGCTTTGAAGAATACAGGCAATTATCTTGTAACTCAATTTAGATTTTCCTGTCCTGTCAAATAGTCAGGTTATGCACTTTTGGCAGGGATTTTTTCAGTGCGTCATATTCAGGGAATACACAGTTCTGGTTTGTCCCATTACTGGTGCTGTTAACCCATCACTTGAGGCTTGTCTGCTACGCCTTACTGCTGTAAAGTATCATACTTCATAGTTTATCATTCATATTAGCATTTTACTGTAAAGTAGAGCTTTTTCTTCACCATTCTTTCCAGTATGAACCAGTGGTTTCTTTTATTCACTAAGTTAAAATCAAATACTATTACTTATTTCAATACTTAAACTGTCCCAGATAAAGTCAGTGGGAGCACTTTAATTCCATGTCCTTCAGATTTGTCTCCATCATTCCTTGGGCACTTCCCAACTTTCTAGAACATCTTTTCACACTTACCCTGCCCCAGCCCCTGAATCAGTCACTTCTCCATGGAGCCCTGGTACTTCTTAAGAGAAGAATGGCATTTAGAGATGGGCTTGCTCCTGGGGCATCATTGCTTCTAGACCACCTAGGGAAGCAAGCTCGTGTGTGTGTGTGTGTGTGTACACATACATGCATTCATATCACAAATACAACTACGTCCATTTTTATATTTCAAATACCAGAAATCATGAGTTCATCCAAATACCTCCCAATTCCTATCCAAGTCTTTTGGTCTTTGTAAATTGATTTGTCTGAGAGCGACCGGCCTGGCTCGCATTACCTTAAGGATACACTTGCAAGTTCAGTGCGGTCTCCGCCTTGGACTCGGCTTTGTGGGACGGCGTGCGCCACCTCGCGGTTGGGAGTGACAGGCGCGCCCCGGGCTCAGGGTGACTACAGTCAGCCAGCCCTTTGAAAGGCTTTTAACATTTGACCCAACAATTTAGTTGTCTTCGTCAGAAGACTATGTCCAGAATGCAATAGCCTCTTGTATTGAACCAGATACTGTTGTGGGATTCTTAGAGGAGAGAAAATCCGGAAGCACCACCGTGGGAGTTGTTGATTCTGCCGTCCAGTTTTGCCTTGCATCAGGCAACTGCATATGAACTCAGCTTTGAACCACTTTCAGCATTCACTGATAGGGGAGGGCAAGTCTGAGCTCAGGTTAATTCTCATCCGGAAAGGAGGAGCACTTGTAGCCAGGCCCGTGTGTCTCCAAGTTCAAGGTGCATGGGAATCACCTTGCAGATCACCTTAAAATGCCAAATCAGATTCTCTAGGTCTGAGTGGGGCCTGTCTCACAAAGTTCCCATGACATGTAGCCCTTAGGTCAAGAACTGAGCTTTGAGTAACAAGAGATGCTAGAGCATCCATCACTGACTCAAGGGGAGGGAGGGTATAGAAAACGATGTAACCAGTGAACTTCAGAGGTAATTTAACCTTTTATTTTTTTCATTTGCAAACATACAGAGAGTAGCCTGAACCTCTGAGTGCCACTGGCATTACCCATCTTAGTTAATAACTTCCCCTATTCCTGATCTTTCTGTTCTGAGAGTATTTTAAAGAAAATCCAGCCATGTATCGTTGCAGCATTTACTTCTAACAGAAGCAGATTGAAAAGAACACACTATCATCACAGAATTAACAATACATATGACACAAAGCCAACCATAATGCCTGAACATCACCTAATGCTCAGTATTCCGTATTCGTATTTTCAGATGCAGGTGTCCAAGCCTCTTCCCAGGTGGTAGGTAGATGCCCTGATTGGCTCTGCAGTGCCTGGGTTCACCCCTCAGCGAACACCCTCCATGCCACGCCCCATGAGTCTGGGCTTCCTTAGGCGCTCAGCACTCTGGCCTATCGCTCCTGAAACAGTTTTAATGGCTTGCTAATTTCCTTCCTGGGGGAACCCTGCTGATGATGACTAAAGTTTTAGTTCATGCTCTTAGAGTCTGAGACCCCTTCCTGGATTTCAAACTGATCTGTCTGGACAGTAAACAGGAGCCGTGAGACCCGGAAGGCTGGCCCAGCCACTGAGCAGCCCAAGTGACCTTGATCCCAACATTTGAAAGGTTGCTTCTGGAGAGGCCTGGGGGGTCAGGCTGCCCGAAGTCCTCTAACTTCTCCCAGATAATAACTCCCAGTTAGTTGCCAGGAACCCTCTCCTCAAATGATGTCTCCCCAGTCCCAGGCCTTAGGCAGAAAGGGCCTCCCTTCAGAATGGCCTGAAGCCTGTCCATCCCATCGGCAGCCCACCGTGGCTGGAAACGCAGCCTGGCCTGGCCCTGGAGCCAAGAAGCAGCCAGCCTGTTCTACCCGAAGGTTTTCCCACAAGTCCGAGGCTTCTGGAGGACTCCTGAGCCACAGAATTTCCTGGCCAGCTGCTTTCTGACCTGCCAAGTAGCCAGGCTGGGGCGGGGAGATCGGGCCACATCCCCCTCAGCTGGCACAACGTGGCGCTCTCACTGCCACGCCTGCTTTCCAGGTCCTCCCAGTTCAGGGCACCTTTCTGTGTGTCACAGAAATCAAACTCGACTTGGTCTCATCAAAATAGGCTATTTATTGGGAGGATGTGGGCATCTCGCAGGGCAGCCTGGACTCAGGAAAGGCAGATAGACGGCTTTCCTTCTGGCCACTTCCTGTAGGCACCTTTGTCCCACTGAGACCCCTCAGGAAACATGACCCTGTAGCCTGGAGCTTCAGACCTCACAGGGGAGCCGGACCCACCCAGGTACTGCCACTGGCATCAGTTCTAGCTGAGCTCCCAGGAACCAGAACTGCTGTAGCTGGGGCGCCCAGGCACTCTGGTAGGTCTCCTGACTCAGGGGCAGAGTTCAGGTGAACCTGAAACCTGTTTAGTTGTCAGGTGCCCACCCTGTGGCCTGAGGCTGGATGGGCCTCAGGGAATGGAGGCTAAGGTAGCTTCCGGGACAGACGGTACAGCAGCTGCCAGCCTGGGGCGCCAGCAACCTCAGGCCGCTCACTGCTCTCCGCCCAGAGCCCATGGTGGGCCTCCACACGGTCATCTCTGACTTCACCTCAGTCAAGCTTGAGAGGGGAAGGCTGCATCCTGGGGGGTTGATAGCTGATTCGGTGGGAGGTGTCACTAGGCAGCTGGTGGAGGGAGCCCGGTGGCTCTGGTTGAGGAGCCCACGGGAAAGGCCACAGACCGCTGTACGCGCTATTGCCACACAGGAGAGAGAGTAGTGACCAGAGGGAGATGCAAGATCCAGGGAGCGGGGCTGGGGTCGGAGAGGCCTGAGCCAAACAGGGTGAAGGTGGGAGGCAGGAGGCTGGCAGGCTCTGGGGAAACCTTGGGCCGACCTGGGTCAACTTCCTATGTGACCCCCACTTCCGTACCAAGGGCAGAGGACTACTAAAAGCCCTCCCTGGTCTGCCCACACCTTGGGGTGAGGAGGGAGCTCTCCCACCCCATCAGACCGCCCTCTCTCTGCTGGGTCTCGGCAGGAATGTCACAGAAATGGTGGGTGGGGAAAGGGCAGGGTGTGGAGCGGAGTGGGGGCCTTCCAGCCCGGCTCAGGACAGTCCCAAGGCCTGAAAGGCCCTGATTGTCCCCCCACCCCCAGGGCTTTCTCCGCTTAGCTAGCGCCTATGGTGGCCCAGCTGGAGGGCCTGCCTCACGGGGGCAGCAGAGTAACAAGTACAGGGGCTCCCTCACTCCAGGGCTGGCTCCCCGAGTTGGGCCAGGTCTCAGGGTGGGGCATCCCATCACCGAGGTCATGCCAACCCAAGCCCAGGCTGTGGCGGTGCCTGAACGGGGAAGGAGCCTTGGGCTCTTTGCTGCTCAGCTTTGGGTGTGCTGTGTAACGGTCCTGGACCTCTCCCCACCACTGTGCCCAAGTGACCAGCTCTGCCTCTAAGCCAGGCCCTGCCTGAGTCATGTCCCAGGGGCAGACCAAAGGACACTACATTTGGGGCTGAATGCTCACTTCTCTCCAAAACAGCATGCATGCAGGCTAGGTATGGCAGGGGGACAGAGCCAGGGGCAGGGTGCGGCCTGGACATTACACACCCAAGGGGCCCTTGATGGAGGCAGACAATTTAACAATTGGTCTGAAAGTCAAAAGAGAGAGAGCTGGTTAGTGGGGTGAGCAGCGGTGGAGGCAGGGAGGGGCTGTGGGGTTCAGGGCCTGGCCAGCACCGTCAGGCCTGGGCCCTCACAGCAGCCCTGCCTGTGGCCCTTCCCGGGGGTGGGGACACTGGGTCTGTCCTGACCATCTGTGTGGGTGTCCGTGCAGCACTGAGCTCAAAGAAAACAGGGCCCCTGCTCTCGGCCCCCCTGATTCCTTGAGTGTAATGCGAAGATATCTGTCACCTAAGCACTTCCTCCTTCATGGGGCGGCGGGGAGGAACCCAAGGCCGAGACGGGTGTGAAGGGCCCTGGACACTGAGGTCCCTCGTTATTTACTCTGTGGGGCCCCAGAGCCCTGCACAGAGGCACTCAACGCCCTTAAGTGAGTGAGTGAGTAAGCAGCAGGTGAGGGCAGCACCTGGCACTTGTGTCCACAGGCCTGTGCCTAGACATGCCCCGGGGGCCACGTCCTGCCTCTGGCTTCTCCCTGCGTGTCTGGGTCTGGGTCTGAGAACACAGGACGGTACCAAGTGGAGACAAGCTTCTCGAGCCCAGACTGGGCTCAGGGCACTCTATTCTCCTGGGCCTGCCCAGGGTGCTGCGGGCGGGGGGGTGGGCGAGAGGGCTGGCAGGGTCAAGGTGGCAGTGGGCGGGGCTCAGACGTACTCTCTGGCTGTGGCCGAGGGGCCAGGCCGGTATGGCTGCGGGCTGCTGTTGGATCTCTCGGCCTGCGGGCAGGAGCAGCACAGGAAGGAGCCCCCCAGCATGGCCAGGCCGGCAGAGGCCCAGCCCACAAACAATGCTGGGCCAAACTCGTACCTGCAAGGGGTGGGAGGACGCCATCAGGTGTGGCTGAGACCTGGCCCCACCTCAGAGCCCCTGTTCCTCCCCAGAGCAGCTCCCCAGTCTCTGTCCTGAGAGGGGGGCAGGTGAGAGAAGCCAGGAGCCTCACACACCTCCGTTGCGCTGGGATCTTGGGGTGAATGGTGGGCCCTCCTGCTGCCCCACCCTGCACACCAACACCACAGTGCCCCAGGCCCAGGCTGGGCCTCTGCTATCTCAGCCCCTCTTGGGCCAGTGGAGATGCAAGGGAGGCTCTCCCATAGGGAGCGTCCCTGCACCCCTTCTCACAGCCACGGTCTGACCTGCAGAACTCCCAGTCCGAGCTCCCCCGCCCCACCCCGCGGGCGCTGGCACCTGGGCCCTGCCAGCCAACTCAGCTCTCTGCCCGCTCTAGGTGTCCCCACTTCTGTGCCGTTGCGTGAGGCGCCCCCTCCTGGAGCATCTTCCACTCTGCACTTCACACTGTTCTCCACCTTTGGGGCCCAGCTCGGATACCACTTCACCCCTTCCATCGAATTGCACTCTCACTGGGTGGCCCTTGCTTGTCCAGCTTGTCCAGCCCCCACCCAATTCCTTGGTGTCCCAGGCCCAGCACAGGAGCTGCAGCCCAGACGGCACTGGACAGTGCAGAAGGCCCAAAGGCCAGACTAGATCCCTGAGCTGAGCTGAGGTGCCTCTTAGTGGGCAGGTCTTTGCGACCGGAGCTGCCAGTCCCAGGGGACAAGCCTCACACCAGAGGTTGCCTTTTCCATACTGCTGCCTCCTCCAGGGAGTCCTCCCAGCTTATTTGAATGTCTGGGGTTGAGACTGTCCCAGTCTGCTGGCAGAGCTGAGAAGCGAAGGAGCCCCAGGAGGGCCCAGGCCCTTCACAGAGGCCCTAGTTCATTCCCCACACTCAGCTTTACAACCTGACTATTCTAGCTCCAAAAGAGCTCCGAACCTACTCTCCATGGCTAACCCCGGGGCCCCACGTCTTTGTTCTAGACCTTTGCAACAGCCACCTTACTGGAATGCCCCTCCTCACCATCCTGCGCCCCCCAGCCGGTAGGCGGCCGCTGCCTCCAGCCTAGGGTGACTGCAAGGCCATCTGCTTGCATCACTTCCCAGGCCTCGTCGCCCGGCTGCAAACTAACAGGGGCCTCTGCAGGAACAGCAGTAACTCGGCTTCCTGCCTGCTCTCCAGACCCAGGCACTGCGCTGAGCCCCCTGGCTGCCTCTTCTCACAGAACCCTCACAGTTGGGTGCTCAGGCCCGAGCTTCATTTACAGGGAGGAACAAGGCCGCTGGCCAGCATGCACAGAGCTGGGACTGAGACAGAGCCAGGACGTGTGCTTCTGAGGTGCCCGCTGCTCCTGGGTGCCTCCCCCCAGGCTCTGCCCCTTCAGAGGGCCAGGCTGCACCCTGCCTGGCTCCCGGCTCCAGAGAGCCCCTCAGTGACAGCGCCCAGGACCCAGGGGACCCTCTGTCCCCTGCCAAGCGTCCCACTAGACCAAAGCTAGTGGCCCAGAGGAGACAGCGCAAAGGCCCGTCCCAAACCACACCCTGGCACTCACCTGGCATTGACAGGTGTGCTCGGGTTAAAGAACTCCTTAGTCACCAGGGTCGCGTACCATGAGACGGCTGTCAAAGTGCAGAGGCCTAAGGATGAAGGAGGGGAGCTCAGCTCTGCTCTGGCTCCCTGTCAGGGCCTAGACCTTAGAGGAGCCAAGCGTACTCACCTGCCAGGAGGAAGAGGGCACCCCCAGAGACAGCGACGCGGCCCTTGGCGATGGGGTTGCTGTCTCCAACCCGGGTGCACTTCATGCCCACGACACTGAGGATCATGGCCACGAAGCCCAGGATTACAGCCACCACCATGAGAGCTCGCGCCGACTGGATGTGACCTGGGGGGCAGGAGGCACTGAGCCACCGCAGAGGGTGGGGCCAGGTGGGAGGAACCCAGGGTGGGGGGCTGGAGGAGCAGTGGAGCGAGGCTAGGGTGGGGTGCAGCTTCACCTTGGCCCTGCTGTGCGCTCTCCCAGGCCCTTCGGGGTGTGATGACTGGTGACTGGGTAGACTGAGGTCTCTGCTGCTTTCCAGCCAAGGTGGGTACGGAGGGTGAAGAGCCTGGTGGGTCAGGCCTTTGGGGGGCCGGGGCAGAGTGTGGGCAGTTCACCCCGATTAGGAGAGAGCCGCAGTGGTACCTCTTCACCAGCAGATGTGTCGGCTAACAGCCAGGAGGGGGAGGCAGGGGCGGGGGACCCGCCTGCCCAAGCAGCTGTGCGTGTGCTCGCCTGTGCGTGTGTAATCGGCATGTTTGTGAGTGACCGTGTGCGGGTGGACTTGTCTCAGTGGCAGGACGGGCTGGTAGGATGTGTGCTCGGTGTGGGGAGAAGGGCAGGGCGGGGTCTTCACCGGATCTCCTGAATGCCAGGCACTCTCATCGGACCCTCCCATGGTTCTGGAAGCCATCCGAACCGAGTCGGGGTGCTTCGAGGTTAGGGCGGCAGAGCTGGGGTCTGGCGTGCCTGCCGTCCAGAGGGCACCAGGCTGGTCTGGGTCTCCCAGTGTGCGTGGGGTTGGGTGGGGCTAGCGGGCAAGCTTGCTCAGCAGCCCCCTCCCCTCGCCCCCACCCCGGGGTTGAGCCTACCGTCCAGGGCGAGCAGCGAGTCATAGAGCTTGCATTGCACCTGCCCGGTGCTCTGGGAGGCGCAGGACATCCAGAGCCCCTCGTAGAGGCCCACGGCGGTGATGATGGCGTCGCCCGCGTAGGAGGACTGCTTCCACTGTGGGAGCACGGTGCTGGCGATGATGCCCACCCAGCCGCCCAGGGCCAGGAAGTAGCCCAGGAGCTGAAGGCCGGAGTTGGCCATGGCCCAGGCTCCGGGGTCCCAGGGCTTAGGCCAGGGCTGAGGCCTCCGGGGGCCCTGGGGTCATGGCCAGGTGAGAGAAACAGCGGGCAAGGATGGGGGTCAATGGCCGGAGGCCGTGAGAAGGAGAGGTGGCAGCTGTGCAGCCGCTGGGGCAGCTCTGGCGCTCTAGAATGCAGGGGGAGGCCCAGAGGCTGCCAAGGCCAGCGCCCGCCCACAGCAGTGGGCTCAGCCAAGGCAGGGTCCCCAGCAAAGCTCAAGCCCAGCCCCTGGGTGGGGCGGGGGCGGGGCCGTGGCTCAGGTGGGTGCCCCCCTGCAGGGACTCAGAGGGGAGGGGCCAGAGGAGGGCCTGATGCCCTCAGGGTTTTTCTGCTCAGGGAAACCCTTTCAGGAACCCAATTCAAAGACCCTAAAATTCCAGTTCCTACCCCCAGCACCAGCCTGGAGATGGCCGACTTTACTCGTACAGGACTGGTCTGACCTTTGGGGATTTTTGTCCTCTGACTGTAGAACTGAAAGGAAAGAGACTTCCACATTGCAGCAGGTAAGACTAGAGTTAGACCCCAGGGAGATCTTTTGGGCCAGGGCTCTGAGGTCAGTTGTGAAGAGATGGAATGGGGAGCGGTGGAGAGCTGGGGCTGAGTATCTGGGAGCTCTGTGGATTAAAAGTAGGAGAGGCCAGGCCAGGAAATATGCACTGGGGGAGGGGTGGTTCGAAATCTGAAGGGGGCAGAGGAAGGACCCCGCTAAGGTTGGGCCGGAGCTGGCCACCAGCCTGCACGGGGCCAAGCTGGGAGGTGGGAGACAGCACCCACCTGGCCTCAGCTTGAGGTAGGCAGACCGTTCACCCGCTAATCCCCTTGTCGCTGGCTTAGGCCCTAGCTCCAAAACAGCCTGGCAGGGAGCAGTGGCCTCTGTACATTCCCGGGGCTCAGGCTGCCCCCTCCTAGAGCTCCACCTCCTGACTCCCATCCCAGTTCAGCCCTCAGGAAAAGCGAATGTTTAACTCTCCCCGGTCTCATTAGCAATCCCCTCACGTTCACCGGGCCGTGGGCTGCTGGGTGCGGGAGCGCGGGGAACGTCACAGCCCGGCTCCCACGTGCCCAGCCCCTGCGGCCCCTCCGGCCCGCCAGCCCACCCGCCTTTCCTGGACAGCACTGGAGGAGGGCAGGGTCTGCCGCCT